TTGCTGCATCATCATATTAAGAACTGCAGATATTTTCTAAAAAGCGGGACATTTTTAAAAATCGGCAGGACGCTGGCCAGTCCACTAAAAAGCGGGACTGTCCCGCCAAAATCGGGACGTGTGGTCACTTTAGGCAAGGCAGATGTTAAATGTTCACAAACAGCCTAGTTGCATTTGTATTTTTTCATTCTGCATTTCTTAGATAGACAGTTCAAATTAATAACCCATTAATTATCTAATATTTCGGTTGTCTTTATGAAATTATTCTAAGTGACATGCAGATAAAAAAATATTATTTTTCGAATAACAATATCTTGAATGCATTATAAAAGGAACCTGCATTTAGGAAAAATTGGATTAATATTTCCCATCACGCTTTTCAAACTAAATCCGTTAATAAAGAAATATGTAAATAAAAATAGCTAAACTGGTTAGTAAAGAAATATGTTTCCCTGGTAACCAGTGGCGGACTAATGCTAAAGCAGGTCCTAGGCAACATTGTAATTCCGGGCCTATTTTTCAGTCATGACACATACTTTGCGTTTGGTAGTTTCGTTTTACAGCATATACAAGTAGTTTGTAGTTCTATTTACAAAATTAAATAAACATAATTTATTAAAACATACAATAATGCTTAAACAAATATACCCAGATTGATTAGTTTAGTTATTAATAGAGTTATTTAATAACTCTTTTTCTATATAAAGTAATAATAAACTATTTAATTTTTGTTGGCCTAATGTGTATCTTAATTTTTTTATTATTCTGGCTATTACTGAGAATGATCTTTCACCGCTTGCATTGCTTATTGGAAAGGTTAAATAAATTCTCAGAATTATGTTTAAATTAGGGAAGGTTGCAATAATATTATTTTCCTGAATAAATGACCACATGGATGCAGGCGAAATAATATTTCCTTTACTTTTAAAAGTCTTAATTGTAATATTTCATTTTTCAGTTCTGCTAGGTTTAAATCTTGTTCATAACATTTTAATCCCTCTATTGAAGAGTCACTAACATCACTATCATGAAAAATTGTTTTGAATTTATTGCTAATAGTTTTTTTTAAAATGTTGCTAATTGAAGAATCGCATACAACAAAAAAAATATTAACTTTAAAATGTTCTTTGCCACTGAATCTTATTTCATGTTCTGTAATTTCATCATGAAATAGTTTTCGCACTTTCTGCCGTTTTATATCATTAGTATATGCAATATTTTAAACTTTTTCTGCTTCTTTTTCTAAATTGTCAAAATCATCTCTAACAGTTTGTATGAAATCTCTCAATGAATCATATATTAAAACTGCTGTATTTAGAGATTCGTCTTTTTGTTCAAGAGTCTATTCTCTCTAAAATCTTTTCCCATATAATAAGTAACAGTACATACTCAAATGCATCAAGTTATTTATGTAAATCTGCTGCTTCGGACCTTGTTAATGATTTTTCATCTTTGTTTGAAGAAAAATAACGTAAACAATGTTTAATTTTTTCATAATTTTCCTTTAAGGATTTCACAGCATCGGAATGAGCAGTCCACGTGGTGTCACAAATAGGTTTAATACTCAAGTGTTTGCTCTTTCAAAATTTTTGTAATGCATTCAACCTGTGAGTAGAACTTGAAAAAAATACGTATAATTCCTGAACGATATTGAAAAAAGTGGTCATTTCCATGTAACTTTCGGCAGCAGCATTTCCAATTAAATTTAATGAATGATTTGCGCATGGTATAAATAGGCAGAAAAATATGTTGTTTTATTCTGGATTGGAGTCCCTTATATTTACTTGACATATTAAACGCATTATCATAACTCTGTCCCCGACAGTTAGTGATGTCTGTGCATGATTGTACACAATGCGCTGGTTCATTGAATACTAGAAGTTTAACAAACAATACTTTATTTAACAATTGTAAATAATCAAACCAAAATCATTGCACTATTGCAATGACTGGCTCAAACAAGAGTTCAAGAGCAACTGACTAGTTCGAAACAATTACAACAGATGGCGTTTCACTTAAGACCAAACAATGTCTAAATCTATGTTATTTAAAAATTCTAAAATAACTTTCTCCAAGTTTTCACCTGTATGAGAAAATATAGGTAGAAATCCCAAAAATCTTTCTTTTATACCACTTGGAAGAACATAGCTAATAATGACGGTCAGCTGATCTACGTGAGATATATCAGGTGTTGAATTAATAATTAGAGAGTAAAATTTGACTTCCTTTATTTCGTTCACTATTGTGAGTTGTCAATCTTTGGATATAATAGAAATAAATTCATCACATATTGTTGACCACAAATATTTTATAAGTACCGGTGTCGCAGTTTGCATATTTTATCATGTGTTCCCGCATAAATGGATCGAACTCTGATAAATATTCCAAAGCACCTACTATATAATTACCATTATTTTCACTAAAAAACACTTCATTTTTACCACGAAACGCTAAGGAGTATGAAGAAATAAATTTGATTGTCGCTACTACACGTTTAAGTACTTCCCTCCAATATTTATTTTCATTTATAATTTGTTTTTCCAGTTTAGTGTCCGCTAATTTTAGATCTTGTTATAATAATTAGAATGGAGTTAATGTGGTCACAGGAGTTTTCATGCTCTGACAATTTTTTATATACATTTTTTCAATCATTCGTCCCTTTTGACATTAGCTTTGTTTGCTTGGAAAATAATTTACAGACGTACCAGTACAATAAGTTGTTGGTTTCAGTATAAGCCAACAATCTTTTTTAACTTTTTCCCCGCTATTAATTGTTCTGACGAAGGAGGCAATAGTTAATTTTCTTGTGATTTGTTTTGACCCTTCATTGCATCGAATGGAAGACGATTCCAAAGATCCATTTATTGATTTTGGTGTATTTTTATATAATACTCTCGAATGGCGTCTGTTAAGTATTCTGGCTATAATGCAATATCGTTTACAAAACTCTTAGTTTCAGCATTACTTTGAGATGATTTTAATTTATATTTTCTCCTTTTGTTTCATCTTCACAAACGGAATTGCTTGGTTTTTCCTGCTGGTCTTTTTGCAGAATAGTTTCGAACACAAATGATGTTTCTATAGTTTGAGCAGGTGAATTTTGTGAAAATGATTACGATTGTTGTAATTGTTCTCCATATACGATTAAAAATTTGTCCAACGATCTTTTCATTTGTTTTGCCACTTTATCTCGATCTGCGTTTCGTTTTCTTTTTTCACTTTCACTTAAATGTTTATAGGAACTCATTTTAAAGACCTAGTACTAAAAAGAAAGAAGAAAATGATCTTCAATTAAATTTATTTTTACTCAATATCACAATTACAAACAAAATCACAATTTGTGGTATTTTAATTAAATAATGTAATATTTTTATAAAAACTTACATTTTTATTTTAGGAATTCCAGAAAATATTAACTATGAATCAGAATCCAAAACAATCTATTTGCAATCAAGTCTAGGTTCTTAAGTCATAATTGCACAATTTTCAATCACAATTCACGTGCAATACGTTCAGGAGACACTGATTTTAAGTAGCTACGTTTGACTTTTTAAACACGTGCATAGTAAAGGCTCCATTGTGCGATCGTACTTACACACATGGATACTCGCGGGCGTGGATGCATAAGCACGGGAACACTCATCCACACATGTCGACTTTATCAATCAATGATTAGGCATAATTTGGATACGTTTCAGCAATAATTATGAATATCACGTTTTTCTGTTAAATAAAAATTAATTATAAAAATTAAAAACCTAATTTTCGCGCCCCAA